AAGTGCGAGCGGTTTTACTTTCTCCAGGGAGCTCGCCGCAACCAAGCTGACCAATCACAGAGCTTGCGCTACGCGTCAATACATTTTTTGAGAGGTACACGTCAGCCATGGCAAGGGACCATACGCCTGCGCCTGACGCAGAAGTATAAATGAGCCTTTAATGTCCTCTAATGTCTGTCTCGGGTGATCTTTGTGTAAATGGGGTCAAACATGTTTCCAGATCATTCTAAGCATGTTGTATTTGTTGTGTAAACATCAACGCATCCTGAAGGCAACATAAAAGTTAAATTGTGAAACACAATGTATCTGAAATAGGGGTGTCAAGCCTTTATTTGTGCAAAACTTAAGCCAACGTCTTTAGTAAGATTACCGTCTACAAGTTTGACTTGAAATCTGATATTTTTGTGTGATTTAGAAGAAAGTAACCTATAAAAATGAAAACAAATGATTTTAATATTTTTTTATAGTCATTCCATCTAGGTTTTCTCTCCCCTCCACCTTTTTTTTATCTCAGAACATTTTAAAGAAGATTTTTAAATGCAATTGTGGTTCTTGCTGGTTTCATTAAATGCAGGTCAGCATCAACCACCACTTTTAGAGTAAAAAAAAATGCATACAGGCAAAACATAATGAACACCTCTGACTGCTGACCATGCATTGAGGTCTTATGAAGTGAAAAAGTTGCCTGCACATGCACCTTTGTGACTCCAAAAGTGCGACTAATGTGCGTTATATGAATCAGGTTTTTTTTTCTCTTGACTGGCCAGGGATTGTAATCAGCTGACATTTCCTCATGATCGGCCTAAACGATGACCGGCTGGTCTTCTATTTAATGGCGTATATGCGGAAGGACTTTTAATTTGTCAGTAAACTGGGTTAAGCACTATCAGGTTGTTAAAGTGGCCAACTGTGGTATTGGTAACCTAGCAACCAAAAGTAAACAAAGCATAATGGAGACAGCTGACTGGTCACATGACTGTAATGCTCAATACGTCAAGAATTTGTTCATTTCATCTCGCATTATTTGAATTAACATCTTAATTCCTCTGGTTCATGCAAAATTTAACTTGGAGTCTTGTCAGATTTTTATATTTCTGTTGTTTTTTTTTTCAGAATTTTTTTTTTTTTGTATATTTAAAAAAAAAATTGGGAATCTGAATCATCCAAGAAAATTGCTATCGGTGCTAGTTTTTCTTCAATGATCATGTGACTGTGAAGACGACAATGATGCTGAAAATCCTGCTTTGCGAGACAGAAATAAGTTTAAAACATTTGAATAGAAATCAGTTATTTTTAATTGAAGTATGAAAGTTTTTTTTTGCATTTAATATTCGTAAGTTCAGCTTTGTGAACATTATACAAATATTTAAAGAACAGTAGAAATCTTAAAGACTCCCTACTTTTTGAACTGTAACTGATGTAATACTTTATGCATGACACAAGAGGGCGCCAAAATCACTTATTATAACTTCTTATGCTTTCTCCTTTAGTTTGTCCTGCTGGATGGAAGCCAGGAAGTGACACCATCGTTCCCGACGTGCAGAAGAGCAAGGAGTTTTTCTCCAAGCAGTAACAGTCTCTATTTCTGCATTCACTGGGCTGTTGAAGCACTTAAATTCAGCCTGAGGGGGTCTAGAAAAGTTGATTTAGCCATCGTAACAAACACAGGTTAAATGCACTAGTTAGTCTGATTTCTGTCTGAAGAAGCCGTTTCAGCCCGCGTCTCTCATGCACTGAAATATCTGTAGTTTGTGTTCAGCTAGTTAGTCTGCATTGCATATTTGGTACTCTGTGAACATAGCTGGTTTTAAATTCTCTCAAGTTGTTGGCATTCTGGTGATTTTGTCAATATCTCTGTTAAATAAACAGGCTGTTATTGCTGAATGTTGCAGTTGTCTTATTGTGCTTGCTACTTAATGGATGGTTGACCTCAAATTAAACATTTAATTAGTTTAGAAGGTATGGTAATGGCATGGTAAACCGAATTTTAAATGCAGAAGGACACAGTAGTGTTTTCTTCATGTTTTAATATTAGAATTATAATAGATGGAACAGAATTTGAGAGATAAATGCATATCATGAAATTGCATGATAATTCATGAAACTAAACCTGCGAAAACAAATTTAATAAATAGGCAAAAATTAAATGAGTAAATAAATCAATAAATTCTTGCATAAATAAAACCTTAAATAAATATCCAAATGAGTGTATTTTAAAATTTTTTTTAAAAATGTTGCATAAATAAATATTGAAATGAATAATAGTGTGGGTATGGAGAACAAAACCTGCAAAACAATAAAGAAATATGCAAATAAATGAATAAATAAATACATACACATTCCTGCATAAATAAAACAATAAATAAATACCTACGCAAACAAATATTTATTCTTGCATAAATAAAACATTAAATAAATACACAATTAAATGTATAAAATCTACAAATTTGTGCATAATTAATAGTAGTTTGAAAGGGGGAGAAATCCACGTTCAGTTAAGCATTTTCTTATTCCCCCAACATCTGTGTAATTTATTTTTAATCTGCCTGTACTATTTAAACAATTATTTATGCAGGAATTTGTGTTTTATATACATTAAGTTATTTTTTGGATATTTATTAATTTATTGCTTTGTTTATGCAGGAATTTATTAATTTATTTACTTATTTATTTGGCTAGTGTTTTATTTAGGCAGGACTTTGGGATAAATTTGCATATTTATTGATTTATTGTTTTATTTATGCAGGAATTTGTGGATTTATTATTTAGTTAATTTGCTATTTATTTTTTATTTTATTGTTTTTGCAGGTTTCTCCCTTTCTCCCTCCATAGTATCTTATATAATATTATAATTCAATTAATAGTATAAATATACATTTTACCACCCCTATAACGGTTCATACCATTGTGAAGGCAAGCGCGCCAAACACTCTGTGAGGAAAAAACATTCACTCGACGATAGTCTGAAACTGGCAGGTCTTCAGCAGCTACAGACATCGTAAGTGTTTAAAAGACACTTGTTTTAAGTAGAATATATGTTTGTGTCTGTATATAACTTAAAACTAAAGTCAATTGAGTTATATAGATTGACCTAAAGTAACCCCTGAAACGACTAATCGAGTCACTATAAGTTAGAATACGCTAAATATCCTTTAAAACACTGAAGACTTATGTTTTATTATTAAAATATACGTAATTAAAATGAATATATAAAACATATATTATTATATAAATATATAAAACAGACATTTGATTCACTGAAGCGTGTAATACGCTATCGAACATAGGCCTAAATGATTCACACCCTGATTAAAATGCTTGTTTAAGAATATAAAGTTATTAAGATTAAAGGTAGCAGGCGAAGTCAAACGTATTTTCTCTGATAATGACATTACAATATTTTTGGTGGAAGTCAAAATTAACAGAATATTAACAAATCTGCCCTGCAGGTGGCAGTGTTTCATTATAGTTAGGACAGAGTTACAGCTCTGGAGTCCTCATTGATTCAGCTGTAATGAAGCAGGAATCACTTTTCTACATAAACCCAAAACAATTTTAATAAATATTTGGCAAATCTCGTGTTCAGGACTGAGTGAATGTGTACTTGCTTAAACAAGTGATTCGTAAATTCTGTGGTTATTTTACACTGAATTTTAAACCAGCTCAGACATAAATAGTAATTTAGTTAATCTCCTAGAATTGTCTTTATTGCTTAAATCTGTAATTTTGTTTACAACATCCCCGTGTTTTCTTATTATTTAAAGGCCAGGGCTCATTTCTGTGTCCATGAAAAAGGTAAATTCTGCCTTAATAAAATGTTATACTTTTTTTTTTTTTTTTTTAAATATAACAGATATTATAATATAAAGTGTGCCGTGTTATTATCCTGTCATCTCAAGCTTTACCTTATTCATTCACTCATTTTCTTGTCTGTCTTGTCCCTTTGCTTTACCTTATTTAAAAATCTAAATGTTTATAACGTGTATTAGCTTGGTTTCAGACTATGGTGACAAAAATGACCACTACAAAACTAAAAAATATGCTAAAAATGTTAATTATTAACTTCATATGTTGCCAGTAAAAATTCCTGGGTTTAAAATGTTGACTTGGCTCTTTAAAATGAAAGGCTATTTTATAATCTAGAAACTTTTAGATTGATCTTTATTGTGGAATAGGGTACTTTTCCAGATGATTTTGTAAAAGAAAATATAATAGGCAAGATGCCTTCTTTTAAGAAGAGATTTCTAACACTGCATCGCTGCGAAAACATTTGAAGTAGCTAAGTGAACTTTCTACGGCACAATTCAGTGTAGATGTGTGTTTATAGTCTGTGAGGAGGCTCGAAACAACCATTCATTCAACATCTGAAAGGTGTAATTAGCATAATGGACAAATAACCCTCTTTTTGTCACCTAAAATCTAAGTATTTTAGGAATTATTCAAATGAATTTAACATTTTAATAAAGGGTTGGCGTTTTTAATGGCCAGTTCGGCTAATCTACCGCCTGTGTGTTTTCGGGAAATAGCTGATAAAGGAGTCACTGTGGGCACTTCTCGTTTATAAGCCTTGCTCTTATATTTACTGAGATCTGTTTGTCTATTTTTGTGCTTGCGACGGCTCCGTTTTCTGCAAAGTACCTGGAAAATGCCCGTGCTCATATTTTTATCTCTAGTTTTCTTTTCGCTGAAACTGTTTTGGGAAGGTTTGTGCGCGCGGGGAAAATCCCGCGTTGCTAAATTTTCTCTCGTTCACACGCGCTCCATTCATCGAACGTCAGAGTTGAAAGCGCGCGGACTTCCTGACCGGTAGCGTGGGCGGGGGTTCCCGAAATCTACCCTTAGTGACGTACATAGACCAAAACTGCCCATATATGGGCCTTGCGTCAGCAGGAAAAAAAAAGCCAACGTGGGCACGTCTTCGACGTAACTTTAAAGCCGTAGGCTACAGAATAAACTTTGTTTCTGCTCTACGCTTGAAATAAACAACCCAAACAGTAGAATCATTTTCAACATTTTTACTTAAATATAAAAAATAAACAAAAACAAACAAACAGAAAAACAGTTAAAGGTCTGGCTCAACCTGACTCACAATATCAATAACTTACTGGAATGTTTTCAAAGGGCAGCACTTAACAACAAAACCAAAACTGTTCACTTCAAAAGTTTAGTCCATTGTCCGTTCGGCTGAAAGTACCTTATCTTTGGAAAACAACAATAACATTAAAGTTTTCTACAAGAAAACACTTAAGAAATATACAACGCTCGTACTCAGTGCTGCGACAATAACATCATCACAAACAGGATCTGCTCTTCCAGTGTTTCCCAGAGTCCGTAGCATCCCTCTCCCCCCTAAAACGACTTGATCTTCGGCGTCAGCATCAGCTGGCACCCGCTGCTCACATGGGTCATGACCTTCTGCTTAAGCTGAGCTACCTGCTCCCTCAGCAGGGACGCAGTGCTGGACAGTCCGGCGTTATCCGACTTGAGCACTTTCACTTTGTCCTCCAGCCGGGAGATGCGCTCCAGCTTCCGTCGCCGGCACTTGGTGGCCGCCAGTCGGTTCCGGAGCCTCTTGCGCTCCGCTTTGATGCGCTCCTGGTCCTCCATGTCGATGGGCGACATGGGAGGAGAACCATCGCTGCTCTGCAGGTCGGGGACGGTCTGTGGCTCCTCTTTCAGAGTAACGAGCCGCTGCGGATGGAGCGAGTGCTGGAAGTGATGAGGATGCGGCGTGGGCTGGTGGTGATGGTGGTGGTACTGCTGGTGGTGGTGATGGTGAGGCAGGTAGCTGATGGTGGCTGTCGGGTAGTTGGCTGCAGGTGTGAGGTTAGTGTTAGGATTGCAGCTGTTCAGGGTGGTGTACACCGGAGTCTCGGGCGGTAAGGAGGCGCCGAAGACTGACGACGCCACCGAACAACTCGACACCCCGGGGGCTCCGATGGACACGTTCGGCGGGGGCATTTGGTTCATTTTGTGGAGCTCGTCCAGCGCTTTGACGAATCCGTCCGCGAAGCCCTCTTGCTCCTCTGTGATGCTCCGACCGTACAAATACTGCCCCGGCGTGGGTGATGTGATGACGCCGTTACCGTTCTGGATGATGAGTCTCTCTAGCTCCGGAGAGGCGAGTTTCAGCGAGCCCACGTCTCCGGTCGCCGCCGTGTAGAAGTCGCTTTCGGAGCGGAGGGTCTTGAGGTTCCGGTAGGGTTCGGCGAAGCTCACGCTCATGTTCTGCTTTAGGAGCTTGTAGTCGTGCAGGGCAGCGTCTGGATGACCATAAGCAGAAAGAAACGAGTCGTCATAAAACGGTTGCTCCATTTTTGTTGACATGTGAACAGAGATTACGTTGGGACGTACTGAAGCTGACTAAAGTCCGCAAGTTCTCTCCGTTATATTACATCAGGCAAAAGAGAGCAAAAAAAGAAGAAACTTCCAAAATAGTTTACTGTACCAATTCGACAGGTGTTTTCTCTCGACAGCTGACGTCCAAAAAGTGTCTTCCCAGACGGTTATTTACAAACAGCTCTTCTGGCCCGTCGCGCATTCAGTATCATGATAAGTGCGCCTTCATTCTTATATACTCCAAATGCTGAGGGCGTGGCTGAGATAATCGCGGCCGCTGATTGGACGAGAGTTCGTTCCGCTCCTCGAGCTGTCAGATGGGTTGATGACGTTGTTGCCAGTAAGCGCTGAGATTGAAAACAACGCTGGAGGCGAGAGAGCAAAGGGAGACCGAGCGCTGCGCTCCTATTTTTGTTTCCACAGACAAGAAGCAAAAACTGGCCGCAATAGCTCGGCACTTTTAAGAAAAGTTTCCCATGGCCATGAAAACAGAAACACTACTGTGGTCTCTTGAGAAAAACACTACGTTAGAGGATGTCGTGTGAATAATAATAATAAACATTCTTGTCGAAATGGAAACAAAAGGTTCCAACACAATACTGTGATCTCCGTAGATCTGAAGCAGAATATACGAGGAGCTCTTTAATATAAACGAAATTGGAATTTATTTTAAATGTCAAGCTCTAAATATATTCCTTTAATTTAGGTGGAGCATCTAAACTGGCCATTTAAGTAAATACAGGATTGCAGGATTGAGATTGGGGGATTTCAGCCCAAGTTAAATGTGTCTGAGCTACCACATCATCTCGTCAATGATCAAGAGAAGCTCTATTAAAGGGTTAGTTCACCCAAGAGTTACAATTCTGTCATCATTTACTGACTGGATTCAAACCTTTCTTTATATGTTGAACACTGAAGAAGATATTTTGAGGAATGCTGGAAACCCATTGACTTCCATTGTGTTTGTTTTTCTTAACCGTTAGATTTTTTCAGCTTTCTTCAAAATATCTTCTTCATTGTTCAACATAAAAGTTTTGAAGCAAGTAAAAGGTGAGTAAATGATGACAGACATATAATTTGTGGGTGAACTATCCCGTTAATGTGCTTTATTGTTAAACATGCTAGGAAAGGCTATAGTGAGTAATATAAAAATAAAAGTAATTAAGAGAATATCTAATACAGATTCATACAAGGGCTTATCAGCTATTTGAATTGGACTGCTTTTTAAGTACTGAGTCATATAACACATAAAACATGACTAGTAATAATAATAGATCCTTCTCATAGAATTCACTGTAAATAAAAATGTGTTAATGAACAGTTACTGTATTTAGTGATTCACATGTGTGTTTTCTGTTTATTTATAGGTGTGAATTGCATTATGGGATGTTGATATCTGCTCTGTCGACTTTTAATGTTGAAAATTAAACTCTGCAGTTGAACAAAGTGACTTTTATTGACATTTTTGTCAACTTTATCAAATGAAATGAGTGGAGTTAACTCAAAATTCACTGAAAGTTAACTCTACACGTTCTTAACGTTTAGTTATTTCTTAAACCCAATGGTTGAGTTAAACATATTTGGTGCTTTGTTGGGTTATTTTTACCCTTTATTTGGTTATTTAATAATAACTCAACCAGTTGGGTAAATATTTGATGTTTTGTTGGGTTACGTTTAACCTTTATTAGGTTATTATATAATAACTCAACCAGTTTGGTAAATATTTGATGTTTTGTTGAGATATTTTTTAACCTTTATTAGATTATTTAATAATAACTCAACCAGTTTGGTAAATATTTGATGTTTTGTTGAGATATTTTTTAACCTTTATTAGATTATTTAATAATAACTCAACCAGTTTGGTAAATATTTGATGTTTTGTTGAGATATTTTTTAACCTTTATTAGATTATTTAATAATAACTCAACCAGTTTGGTAAATATTTGATGTTTTGTTGAGATATTTTTTAACCTTTATTAGATTATTTAATAATAACTCAATCAGTTGGGTAAATATTTGATGTTTTGTTGGGATATTTTTTAACCTTTATTAGATTATTTAATAATAACTCAATCAGTTGGGTAAATATTTGATGTTTTGTTAAGATATATTTGAACCTTTATTAGATTATTTAATAATAACTCAACTAGTTGGGTTAAAATTTTGAATTTCCACAGTCAACTGATTTAACTGACACAGAAGAGCTGTATTAATATGCGCAAGTAATGTTGTTTTTGCGTTGTGAAGTTTAAGCTGTAACATAATAATATTGTTATTTTTTATCAAATTACTCTCTGTGTCATGTTTTTTATATCAGTTTCACCTGCCATTCTTGCCTTTGGGACCCAGCGGAGAGATTCATTAATTTTCACAGCCATAGTTAGAAAATAAAAGTAGTACTTCAATAGTAATAGCAGAATGGAAAAAATAACATTTAATTAAAATAACCCAATGCTTTGGGTTAAAATAGCCCATAGTTGGGAAGGTGCTATAATAACCTATAGTTGATTTATATGTTGGGGTATTTTTAACCCAACTATTTTAACAGAGAACTCATTTGAAAATAGTTTTGAACTCAGGGTTGAAGGTAATGAGTTAATTAAATACCTCATTAATTCAACTTAAATGGAGTAAAGTGCTCATATTGATTTGTTTTTTAACTCAAATGGTTTGTAGCAATCAGTTTCTTCAAACGGTTTGAGTTGCCTTAACTCATTGAGTTTTGCAGTACTCAGTTGGTTTGAGTTCTCTTCATTTATTGGGTTTTACTGTGATCAAATTGCTTCGTTTACTCAAATGGAGTAAGTTCACAGTACTCATTAGGATTAGTTTTTGAACTCAAGTTTGTTGCAATAGGTTACCTTAAATGGTTTGAGTTACCTTAACTTTTGGGGTTTTACAGTGTAGTTTGAAATAATATAATGAATAAGAAATAATATATTGAGAGAAATAAATCAAAGAAAATGTACTGGCAGTTTATTACGAGGTTTTTGTAACACAATATACAACACCAACCCAGACAATATATCACTTTAAACTATTAGAAATGTTAATAAAGCCACTTGTTATGGCTAAAAGTTGTTGAAAGAAAGATCCCATAATGCAATTCAAAAGCTAAATATGTAGAAACATAAAAAAAGAAACTGCTGATGTTTTACACTAGAGATTTGTACTCTAAAGTATAACCTGTAAACATAACTCTGCATTGATCTGGAATGATCTGACTCAGGATTTGGCAACTGATATGAGTCCCATATATGGGCAAACCGCAGTGTAGTTCCTCCTTAGTGTAGGACCGGGAAACCTCTCCCATGTGGGCCTGATTCCAGCGGCGACGCCCCCGCACATGGAGCGCTGGAGGAGGGGAGAAGGCTGATAGATAGCAGCACGTACACAACACTCTGGCGCAAGAGTGTGAGATTCAGAGAGCACGTTCTTCATTTGTTCTTTATCTGTTCTTCATCTGACATATTAATGCAGACTGCATGTTAGTGTAGTTGTGCCGGTCTCTCAAACTTGATGCATGCACTCTTAAAAATAAAGGGGGATTTTCAGTGATGCTGGAATCATTTTGATAATAATTATAATGATACTATTGATAATAAAAGTGATGATGATGAGGATGATAATAGTGACAATATTAATGGTAAAAATATTAATAATATAAATATATAATATAGTAATATAACAGTTATAGTGATATAATAAGAATAGTGACCATAATAATATAGTGGTATTACTACTACTATTGACAATAATGAAAATAATATTAATAATATTAATATTAACAACAAAAAGTATTTTGAAAATAATATTAATAATAATAGTGCTAATAATAATAATAGTGTCAAATAATATTAATAATAATAGTGCTAATAATAATAATAATAATAATAATAATGATGATAAATAATATTAATAATAATACTGCTATTAATAATAATAATAATAATGACAAATAATATTACAAATAAAAGTGCTATTATTAATAATATTAATAATGACAAATAATATTAATAATAATAGTGCTATTAATAATAATAATAATAATAATAGCGACAAATAATATCATTAATAATAGTGCTATTAATAATAATAATAATAATAATAATAATAATGACAAATAATACAGACAAATAATATTAATAATAATAACAGCAACAATAATAACAACAACAATAATAGCAATAATAGTATTAAAATAACAGTTATCATATATTAATAATAATAATAGTGAAAATGATAATAATAATATTAGCAACAACAAAAGAATAACAACAATAAAAGTGATAATAATATTAAAATAATAGTAATAATATGCTAATAATAATATAAACAATAATGTCAACAAAGATAATAATGACAACAATATTAGTGATGATAATGTTGATAATAATAATAGCAACAACGATCATAATAAAAGCAATAATAGTGATAGTAATGTTAAAAATAATAGTAATAATATATTATTAATAATAATTTTATTAATAATATATTAATAAAATATAGTTTTATATAGCACCTTTAAAATAAGGCAAGTTAATTTATGTAGCATATTTTTACATGATAATAATTAAAAGTGCTTTAGATAAACAAAAATTAACCATAAAATACAATAATTATAAGAACTGAAAAAATGTAAAGCATTAACGTGATTAAAAACAGATAAATAATGTGATTAAACAGGTTTAAAATGAATATATTTTTAAAAGTAGCATCTTAAAAAAGTGCTTTACATGCATGAAAACTAGACTGAATACAAGCACACTATAATAAATTGCAAATAAAAATCACAAATCGCATAAAAAGTTATGCTAAAAAAATAATATAAGAAAATTGTTCTTTAAAAACCAAAACAAAACACTTGCTTTCTTTTTGTGCCTGATTAACTTTATAAAAAATATAATAATTAAAGTATAAGCATACAGGAAAAAACACATTTTCCCCTGCACAACCCCCAACCCTCTATACAGCCAAACCAAAAGATATCCCTTCAAAACATAACTTGCAATTTACAATTTTCAGAGTTTATAAACAAAATCAATTGATTAAAACATGAAAAAAATCAGTCATGTACATTGTAAACATTTGCAGACAATGCACATAATGGCATTCTCAATACAATTCATGCCACAATAATATGAACAATCTAATGATTAGACTGTCTGACTACAAAAAAAGTTCTAATAAT